CCTAGAAGGAGATGACATTTCATGTAGTTCTACAGAGAAATAAAATTTCTTCACAAGGAAAAATGGGCATGTGCATCTTTCTAGGATTTGAAAACCTAATAAAGAGCTCCAGTGTTTTCATTTTTGTGTAAAATCACTGTAATCACAATTGTTAGAAATATTAACTGATATAGGAGTATTGTATTAGTAAATTGAATGCAGTGAGTGACAGTGCTGTTGGTGACATGATTTTCTAAAATGGTGATACTACTGGATAAAATTGTGAACAAATCAGTTGTAATCTTTTCTTAATGTACATGTTGCAGTCTTGAAAAAACTCAATGTTTATTAAAGTCATGCAAAATACTTTGCATGTGTAAAACAGAGTTAGGCTCTAAGCTCACATAATTATAAGTAGAATTTTTGCATATAGGAATATTTGTATAGGACATTTGAAAGTTGTACCTGACTTTTCTCTACTTTGCAGTACATCTAGCATCCCTGGTCTTCAAAAACCAAGTACCATCAGTGCTCTTCCATCAGTATGAAAACAAAATAATGCCTCAACAAATTTGTGAAATGTGCGCTAGGCATTCTGCTGACATTTATATCCACCTCAACAGAATAAAGTAATATTAGAACTAATAAAAATTGTCAGTTAGATAAGTGGCTAATAATGTACCAATCTATTTCCTTTTCTTTCCTAGTAGAGTGTCAGTAGAGATCATTTGATGTTGATAAATGAAGATATAGATGTATAAAGATATTGTGTTAAATAATACCTGAGAAACTAAAAACAAAAATTATTAAGAACATTTGCATCTAGGGAATGAACAGGGTTGGAGGGGTATGAGCCATAGGATAATACTTTTAAGTACACATACATGCACAGAATCAATTTTGTGACATGAAAATCATTCTTGCTCCTTTACTTTTAAACGTTTAAAAATCAACTTTATTAGGGTATAATTTACATACAGTAAAATGTACCAATTTTAACTGTACAATTTAATGAGCTTGGCAAATATATAATATATAAATACACCAGTGTAGCCTCTACCACCATCACACACACACACACACACACACACACACACACACACACACACACACACACACACACAGAGTTCATATTTTTGTGTGTGAAGATGTCCAGTTCCTCAAACAGTATTTGTTTTAAAGACTATTCTTTCCATATTAAATTGCCATTATACCTTTGTGGAAACTTAATTGACCATATGTATGTGGATGTATTTCTGGACTCTATTCTGATCTGTTGATTTATATGATTGTACTGATGTTCATATTACTCTTGGTTATTGTAAGTTTAAGGTAAGTCTTGTTATCACGCAATTTAAGTTCTCCAATTTTTTTCTTATTTTTCAAAATTATATTGGATACTCCTGGTTCTTTGAGTTTCCATATAAAATTTATAATCAGCTTGTTGATTTCTACAAAAAATGCTCAGATTTATATCGGGATTGCATTTAATCTAGAGATTAAGTTTTGGAAAGTTGTCACCTTAACAATAATGAATTTTCTAATGTATAGTATACCTTGTGATTTAATTGGGTCTTCCTTAATATCTATCAGAAATGTCTTATAGTTTTCAGTATACAGTTCTTGTACATAATTTGTTAAATTTAAGGCTGAGTATTTTGTGATGCTATTATAATGATACCATATTTCAAATTTCATTTTTCAAGTGTTCATGGTTAGTATCTTTCTGGGATCGATACATGGTTAGTATCTTTCTGGGTTTTCAGCATGGACTCTCCATTCAGGAGGGTTGCAGTTGAAATATTTCCCACCCCGACCCATGTATACTTTGGAAATTGTTTAGTCTACACCTTACTGGTTATTTTTTGCCTGATCTCATGGAGTTTCACTCTACAAGATTTAGTATTCAGCCAAAGTCTCAAGCAGACCTTATGTAGATTTTTGCTGCGCTGGCTCTGCATAGCTCTCTCCTCTTTAATACTCTGACCTTCAAATTTAGGTTTCTTCAGCCTCTCCAAACTCTTATTTCCATCTTCTCAACTCAGAAAACCACCTGTTGTGCTTTGAAACCCTCTCCCTGCTCTATCTTCCGGAGTGTCATTAATCTGAAAGCTAGGACTATCATGTGGCTCCTTCATTTACTTCCCTTCTCTCAGGCATCACAGTTTGGCATTGCTTGTCATCCATGTGTGAAAATAGTTACTTCAGATATATTTGTCCAGTTTTCTAGTTGTTTTTGGTGGGGGTATAGTCCTAGTTACTCTCATTGGTAGTAGTTGTCATATTAGCAACTGCTTTCCCCTCCATTATTCCTGTGAGGACCTTGAGGAGTTTTTTGCAAGAGTTTGCAAGTCACTGTTGCAGACTTCCACCCCTAAACTTACACGCACACCATATACTTCACTCGGGCAGATGAGAAGAAGGTATGTGCAACTCTGCTGAAATAGTCAGAGGCCAATGAAGATTTCAAAGTTTTGATGACATTGTGGTCAGTCCCTCCCCTTACCTGCAGCCCCTGGCAACCACTGATTTTTTTTAATGCCTATAATTTTGCTTTTTAAAAAAATGCCATGTAAATAGATTATGAAGGATGTAGCCTTTTGAGTTTGGCATTGAGTAGAATGCGAGATGTATGAATATTGCTGTGTGTGTTAGTTATTTGTTCCTTTTTTGTTGCTGATTCCTATTCCATTGTATGGATGTACCACAGATTGTTTATACATTCACCAGTTGAAACCATTTGGATTGTTTCCAGTTTTGGGGTGATTATGAATAAAGCTGCTATAAACATTCATGTGCAGGGTTTTTTTTGTGAACATATGTTTTCACATCTCTTGGGTAAATACCTAAGAGTGGAATTTCTGGGTTGTATATTGTGTATATTTAATTTTATAACAAAGTGCCTGTATCATTTTACATTTCTACCTGAAATGCATGAACGTTTTCATTGCTTTGCATCACCCACCGTTGGTTTTGTCAGTTTCTTTGATTTCTATCCTTTTAATAGGTGTAGAGTAATATCTCATTGTGGTTTCACCTTACATTTCCCTATTGACTAATGAGGTGAGCATCTTTTCATGAACTTAATTGGCACCCATATATCTTTAATGAAGTGTCAAAATCTTTTATATATACTAGATATAGTTCTTAATCACATATGTTTTGCAAGTATTTTCTCTCAGTCTGTAGCTTGACTTTAAAATAAATAATGCCTTCAAAGAGAAGCAATTTTTAATTTGATAACATTCAGTGTATAATCTTTTTCTTTTATGGTTTGTGATTTTTTGTGTCTTATTTAGGAAACCTTTGACATAAGGATACACAGATACTCTCTTATATACATATATTTGATTGGCCCACTTTAAAAAACTTTTATTTCATGTTGTAGGGTGTTTTAGAGTGATTTTTTTTGGTTATGATCAAATATACATAACACAAAAGGTATCATTTTAACCATTTTTATGAGTACAGTTCACTGGCAGTAAGTACATTCACAATGCTGTGCAACCACCACCACTGTTCCTCTCCGAAACCCTTTCATCATTCCAAATTGAAACTCTTCCCATTAAACAGTAAGTTTTCATTCTCTCCTTTCTCTAGCCCCTGGTAACCTCTATTTTACTTTATTTCTCTATAATTTTGCCTATTTTAGGTATCTCATATAATTGGAATAATATAATACCTGTTCTTTTGTGTGTGGTTTACTTCACTTAGCATGTTTTCAAGGTTTATCCATGTTGTAGCATGGATAATGTTAAAATTTCATTTCCTTTTATGGCTGAATAATATTCCATTATATGTTTCTACCATATTAGAAGAAATCCATCTGTTGATGGAAATCTGGGTTGTTTCCACCTTTTGGCTATTGAGAATAATGCTGCTGTGAACATTGGTGTGCAAATATCTGAGTCCCTAATTTCAGTTCTTTTGAATATATACTGAGGAGTGGAATTAATGGATCATATGGTAATTTTTATGTTTAAAACTGTTTTTATGCCATGAAACTGCATCACAAAGAAAGGCATTTTCTAGTCTTCTGCACTGCCCCTAGTCTTTCTTCTGAACACCTGATGGAGGCCTGTACAGAGTCTGCCAGTGGGTGTGAATTCCCTTTTGTGCCTATGACTCTCAGTGGTTCCATACTCTCATGTTTCCTCTACATTTGACCTTTAATAATTTTTTTGAAGTTTGGCTTAATTACTTTTACTCACTTGTGTGACACCCAGCATCATAGATGCTCTGCCATAGAGGAGTTGGTTCTTGCTTCCCATCTTTTTTTGATGGGGCCTGACTTTCTTTGGATATCAGATTATTGGTTGCCCTACAATCTCAGTTTTCTGATAGATTTTTAGAAGTTATGATTTTGTTCTTTATTGAGATATTTCTTGTTAAGGTGGGAGCAAAGATCTTTCCAGCTTCCTACATCCTATGTGGAAATGAAACTTATAAATCTTTTAAAAATTAAAGTTCCTGGTAGGAAATATAACTTCTGTGCTAATTCAGTGGTTCTCAAATTATTTCTGGTGGTGAAACATTAGGTAGTTATAATGCTAGTTATAGAACTATTGCTTCCCCCCCCCAAATAATTAACTGTATATTTGCGACAAATTAAATATATTATTATTATTAAATAATTGATGCAATTTAATGAACATTTTTTGGATTTCAGTAGTCATACTAGATATTTTTCATATAATTCTCAGCAAAATGTTGAAACATGGGTTTTACTATGCCTTTTTTTATGGATGAGAGAAACTGAGGCTTAAAGAAAATAAGTTGATTGCTTTGCATCACAGAGAATTGGTATGTAGTATAGATGAGATTTGAGCCTGTATCTTTCTGATTTCAAAATGCATTCTCTTTGTACTCATTACAATATATAGTTAATTTCTTGCTGCTGGGATTAGCACAAAAGAACAGGGGAAGGGAAAATTAATGATAAAAATCTAATTAGACTTCTATTACTAAATTTTGACTTCTGTTTAACATGGACCAATTTTTTTTTTTTTTTTTTTAAATAGGCAGTGATTTGGGAAAGGATGATGCCATCGGAGGGAATGTGAACAAACATATGGTGCTTCCAGCTGGATACTGTGGACAGCCCAAGAAAGGACATCTTATCTTTGATGCTTGCTTTGAAAGTGGTGAGTATATTAAAGGCCTTTGCTTTTGAGCTTGTCTGGTGAAGGTTTTTTAGAATCCATTTCCACTTAAACATTCAGTGTGATTCAACCCATTTAATATTTCATCAGAATGAAACAAGTTATCAGGGAAAAATCAATTTTGAGGGCATTAACTTGGAAATACTTAAAAATGAGATGCAGTGTTTTTGTTGCTATAAATTATTAGAAGTATGATGGTAATACTGGTGAACATTTGTATAGCGCCTTATATTTTATAAAGTACTTACCTAGATATTATTTGTTTGGGATAAAACTGATATAATTTGACCATATGATAAATCAATTACTGAAAGTTTATTATGTATCTGGTTCTGTATGACATTCTCACAGAATTTAATCTTTGTGGGACAGGAGGCTTTCCTATAAAGAAATGATGAGAGAACAGATTCAATTGAAAACAAACAAAACAGCAAAAGTAATATTGCATCGTAATAAACAAATGCCATGGGTATTCTGAAAGGGGAGCTCAGGACCTGATTGTGAATTCCCATTCGGTAGGGATTGGGTCTTGTTAACTTCTTTATGCCCTGAGCCTCATCCTCTACTATGAATGGCAAACAGTAGGTATTCACAATATGTTGAAAATATTAGTGAGAAAAGTAACATACTTTTATTTTTAAAATAATTATTTTTGTTTTTGAATAATGTGCATGCGCGCGCGCACTTGTGTGTGTGTATTTGAAAGGATATGCCGGTTCTCTGAATCCTAAGAACATTGTTTGTTTATACCAACAGTTGAATACTTGTTTACCCCAAATTTTGCTTTGTTTATCCCATGTTGTTTTAATTTGCTAGGGCTATCATAACAAAAAGCCACAAACTGAGTGGCTTAAACAACAAAAATCTATTATCTCCCGGTTCTAAGATCAAGGTGTTGCCAGGGTTGGTTTATTCTAAAGGTTTTGACGAAGAATCTGTTCCATGCCCCTTCTCTAGTCTCTGGTGGTTTGCTAGCGATCTTTGTTGTTCCTTAGTTTGTAGAAGCATCACCTTGATCCCTCCTTCATTTCCAAATGGCATTCTCTCTGTGTGCATGTCTGTCTTTATATACTCACTCCTCCCTTTTTTTTATGACACCAGTCATATTGGATTAGGGCCCACTCTAATGACCCCATTTTAACTTGATTACCTCTGTAGAGACCCTATCTCATAGTAAAGTCACATTCTGAGGTACTGGGGAGTTAGAACTTCAACATATAAAGTTTTTGGGGGAAATAATTCAACTTACAACACAGAACTGAAGCGTTGTCCTTCCAGTCAGATATGACTCATCTGGGAATGTTCTTCCAGATGCATGGCTTTCTCCCTTACTTCAGTTATTTATTCAAATGTTATCTTCTCAGTGAGGCCTGTCTTAGCTAGCCTGTATAAAATTTCAACTTTTCCCCTGACATTTCCTAATCCCTTATATGCTTTATATTTTCTCCTTAGCACTTACCACTAATATAATATAAATTTTACTTATTTATGTTTTAACTTATTGTCTGTCTCCTCCACTAAAATATAAACTCTACAAAGGTAGAATTTTTCGTTCTTTTATTCCCTGTTACCCAGCACAATGCCTGACATATGATAGGTGGTGAATAAATATTTGTTGAAAGAATTGGTGTGAGAATGAGTAGAACTGTACCTGATGGAATTAATTATATGTACATTTATTGTATTTTTATAACTATTGACCTCAAATGATAGGATGCAAAATTGAGGAATTTAGCATGGCTATATTGATTTATGGAAAACAAACACTTATCCAGCAAACTTATTTTTTGAGAGTATTACTGAGAACTTGGATGAGTGGGGGAGACTTTTGACTCACCAAAGTAGTTGCTACAAAATACATGCACCAACGTTCATTCACCTTACTCCTTAGAGGAGATACTTAGAATTCATTTCTTCTAATTTTAGACATAGTTCTAACTATCTTGGTAGTATGGGTTTTCAGCTCAGGAAATTTGTGGACAGGGTGGAGCCCGAGGATATAGGAATGCTCTTTGGTGAGAAATCAAAGTTGACATAGCTGACGGAGGGGAGGAGGCAGAAAATATAAAAGTAAACAAAATTTAAATCTATAACCTTTGAGATATCAGTACTTTATCATCAATATAAGATTATATGTTCTTCATCATCAATATAAGATTAAATTATGTACACAATGATTTTAGAAATATTTCCTGTAAAAATAGAAATGTCCCTATATACTTATTACCTCTTTATCCTTACAGTCTGGTCTGTATCCTCACTACTCCAGAAAGAATTCTCCGAAAGGTTACCAGAGACTTAATCATGTAATTCAGTGGTCTTGTCTTAGCTCTTGATTCCTCTGCAGCATATGCCATTTCTAATAATCACCATTACTTTTTGAAACACTTCCCCTGGCAGCATTGACTATACCATCCTCATTCTCCACCCCCATTTCTGACTGACCTGTCTTGTTTTCATCTACACATGACCCTAAGACATTCTCTAAGATTCAGCTCACCCATCTTCAATCTTTATAAATCTTGTCACATCTAATAATTCACCATCCATCCATTGAGAATTATTATTATGATCATTAAATATCCTGAATCCATTAATTTTTTTTCTATCTGCCTTCCTCATTCAAACTGCCATCTGTCATTGGGAACTAATTTTCTTGCTTCCTTTCCCTCATGCTCCCTTTCCCCCATATCCATTCTTACCACAGCGTCTAGAGTGATGCTTTTACAACTCAAATCAGATTCTGTTTCAGTTCTATTTAAAACATTTAATTGTCTTCCCATCAGAGTTAGAATAAAATCCTGATTTCTTACTCTGACTACGATGATTTGGCCCTTGACCACTTTTCTGACGTCATCTTATGCCATTCTCACTCTTCCCAATAATGCTTTAGCCAGTGACTTTCTGTCAGTTCATAGAGCAGGCAAATTTGTTTCTGCTTTAGGTAGTTTGATCCAGACATTTCTTCTTCTTGAAATCTGACCCCCCTTCCCCACCTCCCTCCTCTACCACCATCTTTTCGTTTGGCATTCAGATCTCAGCTTACATATTGCCTCCTCACAGAGGCCTTCTCTGATTAGTCAGTCTAAGGTAGCCACCCAGTCATTCTATCATATCATCCTGTTTTTATTCTCTACCTGTTCATTTGCTTTTTTTTTTTAATCTGCCTCCCCTACAATAAAAACCGTCACTTTATCTATTTGCTCTGTCACCAGAGCCTGACATATGGTAGGCTTTCAATAGCTGTCAGAAGGATGAATGAAGTCTTTGGCAGGTACTGTGGGTATAGAGATAATAGTGGTAAGTAATTTGTACTGCAGTGGTTATTAGCCTTTCCTGGGTCACAGGCATTTTGAGAATCTAATGAAAATTATGAATTCTCTTCCAGTAAAAATGCACTTATGTGCCTCTAGTAAACATTTGCCTAATAATTAGAATTCTTGATTTCTTGAGTACTCTTTGTTAGCCACCTTACTAGTGTCCTTGCCCTCTTAGAAACTTTGGAATGCACTTTTATTAGTCATAAACTTTATATGATTATTGGCACATAATCAATATACTGGTACAGTGCTTCTCAAGAATTATGTGTGCTCAAGAGCTGTTTTTTATTTTTTAATTTCCAGTGTCATGCTTTTGTTTTTTAATTTCCTGTGCATGACTTATATAAAGCTCATGTCATGCCGTATGCACTCCACCACATGAATTTCTCAGCATCCAAACTTGTTTATACCCTGTTCAACTAAATAAATACGCCAATTGTGAGTTTGAAATCCATATGGTTATTAAAGTACCTTGCTGTACCTGATTTATAGTAGATCTGTAATAAACAGTTTGTAGGTCAGCATCAATCTGTGGACCAAATTTTGAATAAGCACTGCCTTGCAAAGGATCATCAGTCTTAAACTCTCTTCAGGGCACCAATCCCATATCTTAATCTACCTGATTGTGTCTCTAGCTAGATATTCTACTGGTATTTTAACTTCAGAAAAGAAAAGCCCCTTTAACTTTTTTTTTAAAATTTCAAAAGTTCCAAGTTTCTTTGCCATCCAGAGTCATCTTAAGCTTTTCTTTCTTTACGTCTCTACCCAATCACTCATTCAGTCCTGTTACTCTAAGTCAGTTTTTCTTAACCTCTTTTTCATAATCACTCTGCTAAGGACCCTTTTAGACTTTTTATTTTTCTAATTTCCCCAAACTGCACAAAATTTTAATGCTACCAGTATGCTGCATATCTCTTTATGGACTGTAGCCCTTCAAAGGGCCACAAATCATTGTAATATCTAAAATTTCTTTGTCCTGTTGAGAATGCATGCTCTACCTGTATGCTACTCTTCATGTATGCATTTTCATTTTCTTCCTACTGCCCAGTGCCAAATCCTTATTATACTGAATTTGATCACTACATTCTCTTTGTTTGAGAGTTCTTTTCCACATTTTTATTAAAATCAGATCCATCCTCAAGGCCTGCACCCAAAGTTACTTTTCCATGAAGTTACTTCTATGATCCTCCAGCTGTATATGGCTTTTCACTCTTCTAATTTCCCATTACAACCTTATTGATATTTCTGTTATGGAATATAGATTTCTATTGTTATTTGCAAGCATAGGTCTCTTGTGGGCAGGAGCCTTAATTTCTTTCCTTTTTTTACAATGGCTAGCTTTTAATAGGTACTTAAAACATCCGTGAATGAGTGAATAAATTTAATTGCTTAAAAATAAAAGGCTGGATACTAAAGTAGTTGCTAAGTTTCTACTGAAATGAAAATCCTCATTCTTTCTTGGATGAATGAGATTTTCTAAAGTCTTCTATTCCACTATCTCTGTCTTCATTGTCTATACAGGGATAGCGTTATTATAGAAGATGAGATAATGGAAAACTGGTATGGTTCCTTGCTTTATCATAGACTCGGACTTATATTCAGTAGCCTAAGGAGCTGAGGGTAAATGGATTACCTGACCCAGTGCCTTCACCTTAATTTTTA